AAGGGTGGGGTAGGGGTCAAAATTTGCAAGATGGCAGATGCAGCATCAAGATCCAAGCCCTTTTGGATGTGTGTGTGACATTGATACATGTACAAAAGGCCCAGGGCTTGGACTGTGATGCCATGGTCATCTTGCAGATTTGGACTCCCCTGCCAGATGCTGCTGCCAGGAAGCTATCTCAACTGGTCAATTTGAATATATCCATTATTTCATTACAAAAGAAAATGTAGACAGATGATTTAGAATTCTTTTGAATGTTTAGCATAAGATTAAGAATTTGAGGTTGTTTTACATATTGAGTGAATTTGCAGGATTCTAAATACATTTCTTTAAAAGGTATTCTGTGAGACTCTCATTGTGCTAATTACAATCAGCCATTGAAAAAGGTGGATTTAATTTCCATACTTTCAGATTTACCATTGGGCATTTATTTTAGCTTTGGTTACTGGCTAGAATAAGGAATTTAACATTTTAATTTGTCTTTGAACTCAACTTTTGAGTTGTTATTTGGTCCCATTGAATGTGGTAAGTAATGGGATCTTTGGGCAGAAATTAGTTTTAGTACCTTCAATGAATGGTCCAAGATGAGTGTATGGAAAATACTAGATCACGTACACAATTTAGACCTTTTTACCCATGAAATAGATACTGATGAGATAACCGCAGTTTAAAGTAGCAAGTAAATGCATTTTACATTATTATTAATTTAAATCAATTTAGTTCTGAGGAAGCTATTTTTAACACCTTTGCAGAACTGAATGTGAGTTTGTTTTACCTCTGAGGGCTTCTGTTAATGAATTCAATGTGTTCTTTGGTCAAAGTACTATTGCTGCTTCTGGGGTTCCATGGCAATTTGAGATTTTGAAAATATCGGCTATAGCCCTCAAGGAAGTAGTCAGTTTCTTAAAGGAAGTTGAAAGAAACTGATGAAATGTGTTAGTTATTCATGGGACTTCTGAAATAGAGCTTGGAATGTCCTGTCCCAATAAATCAGAGGATACCTCCTTTAAATAATGTGAAATTAGTAACCTTTAATTTTGAAATGATGTTAATACAATAACAAAAATGGGACTACATCTCCCATTAATTCCCAAGCAGCAAGAACTTTTACTGGAAATATAAGATTTGTTTGGAGGCCATCAATTTAGAGAAAACTACACTAAGTGGCATTCAGGATTCTTTCAATACCTTTGTAGTATTGCATAGAGTCACATAAATAATAACATAACTTGTGTTGCTATGTTTTTTTAAATTAACAAAGATGCAAAGGAAGGAAAAAGAATCATCTCAGAAAGAAGCAATTCTTCTAGCCAAGATGAAGCATCCCAATATAGTAGCCTTTTATGCTTCCCTTCAAGGTATCATTTTGATCTACAGTTATTCAGTTATATATTTTTAAAAAAATATCTTTTGATAAATTCTGTTTTCCTCAGCAGTGAGAATATTGGTGAATACTTGGTGTATGTCCTTTTGAAGAGATTAAATGTAAAGTGTTTTAAGCAGGCTACCTGTAACTTTAATTGTTGTGTAGAATATATTTTGGCTAACTCCTTGAATAGGGCAATGATAAGTAGCTCCTTCTGAAATTTCCTCTTTTGAAAGGCACACAAGTTCTTTCTGCCAAAAACTTTTTAAAACTAGGTTGTTTGGGAGGTTGTTTCCTTGAGTAATGCCATCTTACTCTCTGTTTCTTACTTTATTCTTTGTTTCCTGTTGTTTTTCTGTCCTCTGTAGGGGCTGAGATAGTTATCATTATCATTGTTAAGATTATTTTGGTTGGTTTTCACCTTACCTTGGATGTTTTAACTATTGTTTTTATAACCTGTGGTTATAAGCCACTGAGAGTCATTTGATTGCAGTGAAGTAGAATAATAATAAATAAATATCTTATTTTGTTTCTGGTTACCTAATGCCATGTATGCCTAGATTGAAGGGAGTTGAGGAGATGAGTACGTAGCTACCTACAAAAGAAAACATTAAAGAGTTCCTTATTACATTTAAGACAGAATATTAGCAGATGCTACTTGAATCTTTGGGGAAGAGGCATTTAGCCATTTTAGGTGGAGGTCAAGAAGTACTGTAGATAATTTTAGAGGTCACCGGGCAATTCTACACAAGTACTCTGCAACAGTTCAAAATCCTCTCCAGAACTATCTATCAAATAATGTTGGCTGGTTTAAAGACCTGAGTCGATTTTTAGATCAACTTATTTGAAATCTGGGGAAGACATTGAACTCCTGTGCTCTGAAAATGGTGTGTGTGTGTGTATATTGCAGAAACAAAGGTAGCATGCCTCAAATACAAAATATGCTAGCAGCAGCAGCAGGCTTTGCCTTCATATCCTCCCTGTGAGCTTTTCAGGTGCATCGTCAGTCAGTGTAGGACACAGAATACTAGATTAGATGGACTTTTGGTCTAATCCAGCAGGATTCTCCCTTTGTTTTATATTGTATTCTTTTTTAATAAACGGCTCAAAATCTAATTTATTATGTTTTTAGAGAAAAATAAGCTATATATTATGATGGAATATTGTGATGGAGGTGACCTAATGAAGAGAATAAATATGCAGCATGGAGTGCTGCTTGATGAGGATAAGGTAAGTTTGCAATTTAAGGAATACTTTTCCTTTACTTATATTGCTTCGTTATTCATCACAGCAAAGATTTCAAAGTCGAAATCTATATCCTGGCTTGCATTTTGTTTTATTTATTTTTTATGTTACAGTGTAACTATGCTTTAACAAGATTCAATTTGGCATATCATATTTACCTGAAAGGAAGTTAAGCCAAAATTTAGGACAGATTCCACAAAGGAAAGTCAGTAGAAGAATATGATAAAAACAGATAAAAACCTTGTGCAATGCCCAGTATTTCTACCTTGTCAGCTCCAAGATTGCATACTCTAAACATGCATTTCACTTGTAATTAAAAAAAAAAAATCATGAAAGAAAGTCAGTCAGTCTTCCCCAACCAAGTGCCCTCCAGTAGGATTGCCAGCTCCAGCTGAAACCAATCCTGGTTGATTATCCAGGATCACGTCAGAGGATTAGCATGTGAAGGTGCCATCACATACAAGATTAGAAGTGCCTTCACATGCTCTTCCTCTAATGTGATATAGGTCACATTATTTGTGCAAAAGAATTAATGGATGCAAATTTGACATCAAGACTCAAAACAAGGACCAGGTAATATAACAGCATTTTAGTCTCCCAGGTCACTCTATGGACAGACTTCAAAGTGGCCATCTTGGAACAACAAGACTTTAAAAGCACCAAGAAGCGAGAGATTGCCTGAAACCTTTTGATGTTCAGCAATCTCAGAAAGTCTCAACAAATACAAACAATGGGTTTTTAACACATTACAATTGTTAACTGATAAGATCTCACATGTAAAGTGCGTCTGCATAATCAACCTGTCTTCAATTCCCTCCCTAAAAATACTTTTTAATACTTTAAATCCTAAAATACTAAAGTCAGTCTATGCATCTGATGAAATGAGCTGTAGTTCACAAAAGCTTGTGCCTTTTAATAAAATTTGTTAGTCGGACAAAGTGCAACCAGACTCCTGATTTTTTACCTCCAATTGACAAGGGAGTCTGATACAGCATGATGGTGTTATTATTAATGCAACATTTGTCTACATACATAACATATATGTATGTATATACAGTGGGGCAAAAAAGTATTTAGTCAGCCACCAATTGTGCAAGTTCTCCCACTTAAAAAGATGAGAGAGGCCTGTAATTTTCATCATAGGTATACCTCAACTATGAGAGACAAAATGGCCAAAGTAACAAAGGCTACCATCAGTAACACACTACGCCGCCAGGGACTCAAATCCTCTGATGGAAGGAGGTGTTTACTCAAAATCTGACAATACATGGCCCCATTCATTCTTCCAAAGTAACAAAGGCTACCATCAGTAACACACTACGCCGCCAGGGACTCAAATCCTCTGATGGAAGGAGGTGTTTACTCAAAATCTGACAATACATGGCCCCATTCATTCTTCCAAAGTAACAAAGGCTACCATCAGTAACACACTACGCCGCCAGGGACTCAAATCCTCTGATGGAAGGAGGTGTTTACTCAAAATCTGACAATACATGGCCCCATTCATTCTTCCAAAGTAACAAAGGCTACCATCAGTAACACACTACGCCGCCAGGGACTCAAATCCTCTGATGGAAGGAGGTGTTTACTCAAAATCTGACAATACATGGCCCCATTCATTCTTCCAAAGTAACAAAGGCTACCATCAGTAACACACTACGCCGCCAGGGACTCAAATCCTCTGATGGAAGGAGGTGTTTACTCAAAATCTGACAATACATGGCCCCATTCATTCTTCCAAAGTAACAAAGGCTACCATCAGTAACACACTACGCCGCCAGGGACTCAAATCCTCTGATGGAAGGAGGTGTTTACTCAAAATCTGACAATACATGGCCCCATTCATTCTTCCAAAGTAACAAAGGCTACCATCAGTAACACACTACGCCGCCAGGGACTCAAATCCTCCCATTTTGTCTCTCATAGTTGAGGTATACCTATGATGAAAATTACAGGCCTCTCTCATCTTTTTAAGTTGCACAATTGGTGGCTGACTAAATACTTTTTTGCCCCACTGTAAATGCACATACAAATAATTCCTTTCCCACATCTTCGCCATTTGTTGGAATATACTTCCCTCCCTAGATAGCATGACGTTTGGCATGGAAAATTAGGATAGTGTATGTTATAGCCAAGACCTGACTGGGGAAGGGCTGCCCTAGCTTCTTTTATCAGTGTTCTTTTCTGTCGGATTAAATACATGGCCAATGTTGGCTGAAATGCATATTTCCCAGCAGAGGTTTGTCTGGAAGCATATGTGCAGGTTCTGATCTTGGTTACTCAGTGGAAAATGAAAAGCATTTGGCTCATGCTCAGAAACACTCGTTATTTCACATACTCTGCTGTTCAGATCATGTTTTCTAAAGTGTTTCCAGGCCTTTCGGCATGAGGGTGGTGGGGCGTGTCACTCAATTATATGCTGAATATTCTCAATAATTAGGGAATTGAGGTCAATCCTACCTGAATGAATTGCCCAGCAGACAGCAACATTTTGTTCATTTATTTATTTGAACAATTGATATGGCTGCCCATCTCACTACTGCGTCTCTGGGCAACATGTCATGTCCGAGAGGTCCAAAAAGATAATTCCATCTTACAGTCAACAAAGAACAACAACCATAAACAAACAAATTGACAGGGCTCACCTAACACCCTGGCCCAAATGCCTGACTCTCAGACACCAGGTGACAATCTCAGTGCCAAAAACTAATTTGATATTTTCAACACATTATATGATTTCACACACACACACCCCAAATATTTTGGGGCTGAGAATGCTTCTTGAAGTTCAGGGCAGGTACTGCATTTCAGATCCCTCATCTATTTCATTGCCTTGTGTTTTTGTTATTAAACAAGAGTGGAATCTAGCACAGATGTTTTGCTGATGGAACCTGGAGAATGTAATTTTACTTTCTTCCTAAAGTCTATTTTGGAGGGATGAGGACCCTCTGGGTGGGTGAGGTGGGCGCAGGTGAGGTGAGGCGCGGGTGAGGTGAGAGAATAAGCAAATCACAGTCATATCATGTAGGATTTCACCCTGAGTGTCTACACTAGAAGTGTATGTTCTGACCTTATAGATTTCATCAGTTCTGTGACCTACTTTGAAGAGTGTGAGATTGTATCACAAGTTCCTCTTGTATTTAAAAAATACAATATTAGTCATGCTTCTATATTATGTATATATTTAAAATAATGGACTATTTTTTCCTCCCTGGTACTGTATTCTTGTAGAAATTATAATAGTTGTTTTTTATGAAGTATTGATATTTTATCTTTGTACATAGATCTTGGGTTGGTTTGTGCAAATTGCCTTAGGCCTGAAGCATATACATGACAGGAAGATTCTGCACAGAGACATAAAAACACAGGTAATTTTGGGAGATAATTTTTAACCTCATCATTGAGACATAAAGTACCCATTCACTTTTAATTATGGTGTATTTTATTTACAGAACATTTTTCTTAGCAATAATGGAATAACAGCAAAGCTGGGAGATTTTGGGATTGCAAGGATGTTGAGCAAGTAAGCATACTTTTATGTACAATATTATTCCCTTAGTATTAAATCCAAAATGGATGTTTAAAATTTCAGAGGACAGGGCATAGAATTGGTCGGATATTGACTTTGAAGTATGTCTTACCCTTATGGAAAAGAACTGCAGTAAAACTTTGGATTTCATCTGTGTGTTCCTTCTGCCTTCCTTCTCACATGAGAAAAGAAAGTAGAAAACTAACTTGCATTTTCACAACAGTGGTTTCCCATTACCTGTGCATTTGAAATTGGGAAACTCTTTAATATGCTCTAAACCAGAAATTGAAATCTTGGTTTGAATCTGATTTTTTAAAACTGATTCTCCTAAATTATCTGGACCCTGCTATCTCAGTCAAGCCTGGAATGGACTCTCATATAGGGCCCTCCAAATAATGGACTGAGTTCTCTTTTTCTGTAGTTTCTGTAGATAGCTTCTCTAATTACATACAGGGCTTTATCCACCATTAGTTTCAAATGAAAAACATATTTTTATGTTTGCTATTTTCTTTAGCACAATGGAATTTGCTAGTACCTGTGTAGGAACACCATATTACTTATCACCTGAAATCTGTGAAAATAAGCCATATAACAATAAAACGTAAGTTTCAGGACATTCTTCTATCTTTGGGGAGAGAGACAGAGACAGAGAGGAATGGTGAAATTGGAAAAAAATGAGTGCAAAAACACTTGACAATCTAATTTTTAAAACCTGATTGGAGGTTCCTTCCTGTTCCACTCCATCAACCTTCTCCCCTGGCACTCCAGGTTTTAAAAATATGGATTATTCACTGTGCAAACTTGATAGTGACCCTTGTTCCTGTCAAGTCAGCTTTTAGGATTTTTTAAAAAGGCTTTCAACTATTTAAAATAAATCTTATTTTTTATGCCAACTATTTGTTTTCTCCAACCTGATTTTAATAAAACTTAATTTAGAGCCTGGAGTTCACTGTATAACTTCTTACAAGCTAAGGATCTTTTTTGATAGATAATTCATTCATACTGCTTTCCAAGTGGCAATTAATTTGCAGTTCTTGACGTTCTTGAAGTTCTTGAAGTTCTTCTTGAAATGAGAGATAGCAGTAAATATAAACATTAGTATTGCAAGCTGTCTTTGCTTTCAGACTTTTGAACACTTCTCTGTGGAATCTGCTCTTAAAAGGTCAGCTTACTTGTGAAGCACACGTTGATTTTTGCAGTTTTGAAACACCCTGTTTGACCTCAATAGCTGCTTTAATAATGTGTTTGGAGGCATAACTGGGTTAAATATAATAAGATAGAGCAATCTTTGAAGAAGTTACCATTTTTTCATAATCAAATGATAACAAAGTGTTAAAAATAATAAATAGTATGTAACAGTATAAATAGTAATAAATGGAATATTAAGAATTAGCTTTTTGCCTATCCACACATTTGAGATAGATTTTTTGCTGGGTTACTAAATGTGGTTTCCGTTCCTCTGATTCCCTACTTTCTTTTATAGAGATATATGGTCTCTTGGCTGTGTGTTATATGAGTTGTGTACTTTAAAGCATCCTGTAAGTAATTGTTTACACTTTCATAACTGAATATTTATCAAGATCATTTAGTGACAGCTATTAGAATCATACCTTAAATACAACAGGCCTTCAACATTTTGGACAGTGTAGAAAGATACCAGTTTTATACTACTAAGATCATTTATGTTTTCCTTTTCAAATGGAAAGAAATACTCCATCAGAAATGTTCTTTAAAATATCTAAACAACCAGGATTTCAGAAGAAAAATAGACAAATTTACAGTTGATAAAGCCAGCAATTTCTATTAGTCATACTGACTGCATATGCAATATTGGAAGAATATGCATCTTGATGTAAAATGTTAGGAACACAACTGTACTGTGGTAATTGTGTCTTGCTCTGGGCTTTTTTTTAGCATTTTTGTTGTTGTTGGCTACCATGGGAATAAAATAGTGGAGTAGATGGGCTTTGGAGTGATCTAGAATGGCTTGTATATTCTTACAATTTTCCCTGGTGAAATTGAAAGCACAACATAGAGTTGAGTATTCTTCATGAATTGTTTTTTAAATATTTTTTTCATTCCAGCTGTTGTGTGCTGTGCATATTCTGTTCTTTGTTTCTATTTCTGACCTTTTTAATGTTAGCTGTCACTTTTACTACTGGTAGTTTGAAACAAAGTTTAAAAAGTGGGACATCTCCATACTCATTTTTTTTAATGTCTGTTGATTTGTTTGGGAAGTGCTGGAGTTCAGTCTGTCATCATACCCAAATTCTTCTGAGAGAAGGGTGGAGAGTTAATAAGGAAAATTTCAAAGAGGAATGAAGATGGAAAGGGAAGTGACAGATTGTAGTTATCTGGTCAGATTTTCTTGCTGGGACTGATGATTGTCCACAGTTCACCTGTAGAGGAAAAGTAAATTTAAGAAGTGATTATTTGAACATATGAATGACTGTGCTTGGAGTCTAACACATAGTCATGTCCCCTTAACTCCCAGTAAAATCAGATATTTAAGATGTTTTGAAAACTCAGTGTTGTTGAAATTCTATTTTAGCAATGGAAAATGAAAAAATGATGGAACAAATGAAATCTTGGAGTATTTAGACTGACCGGGTAATGATATACTGTCAGTATTCAGCATGAACTTAAGAAAGCAGTTGGGACTGTAAGTGGAGGCTGCCACATGAGGGGTACAAAAAATAAGAGCCCAGAAATACTGGAGACACTTTGTACTAGCCAGAACCCTACCCCTTAACTTTTTCAAATGTTTAAAAAAAATAAGCACAATTAAATGGGAAACTGATGTGATACATATAAAAAAGGCAGGATAAAAATCATCATCATCATTGTTGTCATCCTTATCATCATCATAGTAAAGAAAAGAGCAAGTGTTTGAAAGGAATCACTTTCCAGGGAAACAGTTAAAGATAGGTTGGAGGTAGTATGGAATATCTGGGAAAGCTAAAAGGGGTAGCACGGAAGATTCTCACTGGTTTGCCTTTTGGTAAATTATTGTTACCATGGCACCCATTTTATGAATGGGTAAATCCTTTCCTAGTGGCAGCCATTTGCGAAAGGTTAAATTTAAGGTTAAACATGGCCTTAACATTTCAGATGTGTTTTAGCTGTGGATAGTTTGGGTATAATGTAGAGTAGAATATACCGTGATTGCTGTTATAATAGTTCTTTTTGATAAGCAGGATGGTAGTTGCGATAAAGGAAGCAGAAGACATCACGAGTAGATCTGAAATGACCTGATGAATTAGACAGTGTTTCTAAGAGAAGACTAAGACTGTTCTGCCCTTGTTTGTCCTTTATTTTATGTAAGCACTTTTACATATTTCTGATTAAATCACAGTTTTGATTTAATATACTGACTTTATTTTCATGTGATAGTTTGAAGGCAACAATTTGCCCCAACTTATAATGAAGATCTGCAGAGGCCATTTCATTCCTGTGTCTACAAAGTATTCATCTGATCTGAGATTGTTAATATCCCAGTTGTTTAGAACATCTCCAAGAGATCGCCCTTCTATTAACTCTGTTTTAAAAAAAAACTTTTTAGAGAAGCAGATAAAGAATTATTTGCCACCTGAGGTGAGTATGTGCTGTGGTTGAGAGAAACAAAGTTGCTTGGTTCACTGAAAAACTCTTTATCTGTTGGTCATGTTCTTTTTTACCTCTTTTTCTGTGGGAGAAAAGAATTTCTTTGGCTCTGTTCATTATAGAACAACTCCCCCGCTGAGATTTGGAGGGCTAAGGCTGTGAAGACTTAGCCCTTGCCCCAAGGCAGGATGTTAGCTGAGCCCAATATAGGTATAGCTGTGTTGTGAGCCTGTTATGGTGCCTTGGTTACTGTATGATGGTTATTTTAACTTTTTTTTGTATTTTATGATTACAGGTTTATTTTCTATATAACTCTTTTTATAGATCATTAGCTGACCAGGATTATGTATATAAGATGGGTGCCAATATAAATTCCCCAAATAAATAAATAAATTACATCTACATTCAGTTGCCAGATTAAAATAGTTGCTATTGCTTGCTTTCCCTAGAACAAAAAAGTCAAAGGGGAATGTTTGTCCTTCCCTGCATTGAGTTAGAATAAAGTCGTATTTAGGACACTTACTTGGAACGCCCCTGATATAGCACAGAAACAATTGCACTCTGTTATATTTGTTTCTAGATCATGGAGGCAGAATTCAGTCATACTGTTATTCACAGGAAAAAACCATCAGCTTCACTATCAGCAGGCAAGTTGTTGTTTATATTAAAAATAAGAACATTACACTTGACCATATGTATGAATTTTTTTAAAACTCAGATTGGTTCTGAGATAATCACATGACCACTTTCAAGAAATGAAGATACTGTAAAATAAATTTGCATGCATCTTTTCAGTGAGGAAAATGTGGCAGCAGAAATTGAGCAAATGTGGGCTGTAACTTGAAAGCTATACTTTCAAGATGCGCTCCATTCTGCAGGCTAAAATTAATAGGTCCTCCTGATTTATAGGAGAGAGGAGGGATACTGAAGAACCTTGGGATTGCTTTAGTCAGGGGTGACTCTTCCTTCAAGAAAATTAAAATTGAATTGTACTAAAATGAATTCAGGCCTCTGCTTCTGCTTCTCTAAGCACAAACATGGACAAAATTGCCATGTTGTCACTTGAACTAATGTGTTTTTTATTATTTACTTTTTTATTATAAATATTCATATGCTGCTTTTCAGCATAACAATCCTCCCAAAATAGCTCACAGTCAACATAAAGATTGGTAAATAAATATTATTTAAAAAACAAGCAAATACCCATCTGCGATTGTTCCTGCAAGGAGTTGGTTATACTTGTGAGGTTGGAGGGAAGGAAGGAAAAAGTCCAGTTGAGCAGCTCTTTCTCTCTTTTCATTCCACAGAGGAGTTCGTGTAATGATGGGGTGGTGGTGAAAGATTTCAGTATCTGTACACCTTCTGTTTCCCTTCAGGGATCCTTCCCAGAGGGCAGTTGGTGACAATGGCCCTACAAAGTTGGGGGGAGAAGACCAGCTGAGCCAACTTTTATGTTGGGTGTTGGCAGCCTGAAACTGTCCATCTTGTACATGGTAAAATACCTGGTTGTTGTAGAAGGCTGGCCTGAGGATTCATTTTGCTCAGATAAATCTTGTGCTGGCACATAACTAAAGACTGACTTAGTACTAGAAACTGAGCCCGTAAACGAAACTGGAATTTGATAGATTGGCTGAATAGAAATGCTATATATTTCAGGGCTAACTCTCTTACTGCACATCTTACTGAAAAACATTTATTCAGAAGAGAACTGTGTATTTTGTGGTAACCAAATGATTCCCAACTCAGTATTTACTGCTGATTTTTCAAGAGAATAATGGCTCTGCTTTTTTCAATTGCAAAATATAGGTATAACCAGAGTACAAGATTTGTCTGTCAGTCCCTTCCTTAATAATTATTAAAGGTAGAAATAATTAACCAAACATGATTTAACTGTATTGTTACATAAGCTCCTAAAGTTCAGAAACGAAGACTCCGTGGTCACTATTCTCCAGAAATGAAGATGGAAATGCTTCCTAGAAAAGAATTATTGTATAAAAATGAATGCTATTCTCCTTCAAGGATTCAGGATCCAATTATTAAGGTAAAAGTTACCTTTTGCTAAGGTAAGAGTTATATATTGCTTACCTTTTACAGGTAGTCCTTGCTTAATAACCATTCGTTCAGTGACTGTTTGAAGTTACGATGGTGCTGAATGAATAGTATTTTGACTGGTCCTCAAAGTTATGGCCATTGCAGTGCCCCCACGGTCATGTGATCAAAACTCAGGCTCTTGGCAGCCTGCCTGCATTTACAACCACAGGATGCACTTCAACTCCCCTCCCCTAGCTTTCTCTCCACCATCTCTGTCCTTTTGTCTGCCCTGCACACCACTGCCCCTGCTCTCCACTGCCCTGCTGCCTCTGCCCACCCCCAGCTGATCTTTGCCATCTTCTTCTTCCCACTGCTCAGGAAGGCCTAGTGAGGCCAGCAGCTGCCTTGTAAAGAGCCAGGCCGGGCATGCCTTGTTAAGCAGTGGGAGGAAGAAGACGGCAAAAGTCAGCTGGGGGTGGCGGGGGGCAGCAGGGGCGGCAGGGGGCAGGGCAGTGGAGGCAGCAGGGACAGCGACTGCAGGGTGGCCAAAAGGTCAGCGATGGGGGGGGGGAGTTGAAGTGGAGGCAAGTGTGGCAGGGCAGGAGAAGCGTGAGGTCCTCGCCTAATGACAGTGTGGTCCTGGCCTAATGACTGCAATCAGGACTACTGGAACTGCCATTGCTAAAAGGTGCGGTCATGTGAAGTTTCGCCTAACAACTGCTTCGCTTAGCAACAGAAATTTCGGTTCCAATTAGGGTCATTTACTAAGGTAAAAGCTATGTATGCCTACCATTGAATTGTTTAATGGACTGTTTTTATCACATGCTTTCACTTTAAGGAGTAGGTGGCAGTAGTTCATTTAATGCTTACCAAATTTTTATTGAATTGAAATATTTCTCCTCAACTCTCCTTGTCCCCCCGCTCCTAACTTAAAATCATTCATGGGAGCCCAGTCCAGATCAGAGATCCTCAGGACTGTTAAGTGTATATGCTGATGCATAGTGTAATGAGGCAAAGGTTATACTGATCTGTGTATTGTCGAAGGCTTTCACGGCCGGCATACGATGGCTGGTGTGGGTCTTCCG